GTTCTGTAAACATACATCTGACAAAGTTCAAAGTGTCTAATTATCTCTTGAATACTTGCAATTCCAGTAAGATCTGTTAAAAACCGTACCCTAAATCCACAGAGAAATTCCATATTGAGGTCTGACGGAATAGTGGTCTGATGGTCCCCTATTTTATCTCTTACACTAGAGAAGGTCAGAGGAAAATGCAGAAACACTTTGGAAGGCATACGATGAACTTCCGCGGCATCACCAGTTGCGCAAAGTTAACCGTGGCCACATTAGTTAACCGTGGCTGGAGAAATTAAAACTTGATGTGAGGAACCAGGGTAAATATCTGAGAGATAAATTATGTCTGCATAACAAAATATTGATTTGTGTCCTTACTTGCAGCCCAACAGATACACCACAGATTAGCAGACAGTATGGAAAAAAGTGTAAAGGGTTTATCATTACCCATTTTTAAGAAAACACCTTCTAAAACAAAATAAAGTATCTATGTCAAAAATAATCTTCATTTTAGCCTAAAAATGTATGCTTTATCTGTCAAGTTTCTCTCACAAATAAAAGAATGTTGTCTTTGTGAATTGAATCCTTGAACCGTTTTTGTGATAAGGCTTTTTTTGTACTAGAAAAAGTACAAGTTGTTTGTATTATTCTCACACTGGTTAACTAAATTTAACTTTTTAATGTTTGTAATCTTATTTTTTAAAAAAATCATCAAAGATATGTGAATTAATATTTTCCTTCTGTAGGATAATTATTGCCCTATTATGCCAGAAAATAGCTATGTGGCATCTGGAATCAACCAGTCATAGCCATGTAGGAGAACGTTATGAATTTGCAGTGGATTGATCTATGAAACATACATTTTCCTTTTATTCAAGAATAACTTTAGAAGTATTTTTAAGAACATAAATGTGTGTATAAAATACTTTTCCTCTAGCCTCATTTCTCATGCAGTATAATCTTTAGCCTCCCACATCATAAACTGAAAGCCTCTGCAAGCATTCTGAATTCTGCTGTTTGATACATTTTCTTTTTATTTACTGCAGTGTTATAATAATCCTTTTAGCCCTATCACAAATTATAATGCGTGATTCCAGACTGAATACTGGGGGCTGTAATTTAGACTCTGATTTTGCTGCCCTTTATAAAGCTCTTGAGCTGCACCCTTGTGTATCGAGGCATCAGCAGAATCCTTTGATTCAATTATAGCTTGGCATTTAATTGTGAACTGTGTATTATTCTATAAATAAACCATAACCAATGGTTTAAAGCAACAATCATTTACAAGGAAAATGAAATGTGAAGCTCCAGGCTCTAGCTGAATCTATTGGTTCACATAAGAAGAAAAAGAACATTTCTTGTCTGGAAATTCAGCTCAATGACTGCTAGCTGACTACTGCTTCTTTCACATATAAACACAATGCAAAAGTATAGATCAATTTTGAATTCTCTAGATACTAGATTTTGCTAGGCATAAAAATGTTAGAATTGAACCTGAAACATATTATCATATAATGATAACAAGTTTAAAGTATTATTTGATGTTGTCCACTCATTGGTCTAACAACTAATTTTAATGGCTTTGACAATGCGTCACCCTTTGAAGGAGAAGGCTGCTAACTAGCCTCAGCTCTTATGAGGCTTGTGCAGCTGCTATGTATTTTTGCCAGCAGCTCGTATGTAAGCTAGGCTCTGCACTTGCACTGCATCCCATTGACTGTCAAAGACCAAGTAAATAAAGGGAAAAAGATGCACGGAAGCTTCTCATTTTCACAAACATATTCATATTAGCCCCCCTGTCTGTGAAGTTTTTCCTATTTAGTTCTGTATGCCCTTGTATTTCCTTGTCAAATTAGACTAATTCATAGCATCGTTTGTAGACTATATCTGGTTGTTTCTGGCATAATGAGGCTGACCCCTTGGTAAGGCTTATAGCTGTCACATTAAAAATAAGCAATACAAAGTTTACTCAAAATCAGTGTAGCGGACAAGAGGCCAGGTTTATATTCACTACTTTAGCACAACAGTTTATGAAGCGTACACCCAAGATTATTTTGTAGAGACTATCAAATGCATATAGTGATAACGTTTGATCTGTAATCCTATCCAGTTCTCTCTTTAAGTCCAGGAGATGTATTTAACACAGAGATTAATACTGAATAAAACTGGGGTAATCTTCACATGTAAACCCAATGAACAGTACCATTTTAAAGCTTTGGTTTTGGTGGGGTTTTTGTGGATGGTTTTTATGTTCTGATACAGAAAAAAAAAGAGAGGATTTTTTAAATTATCTAAATACACTGAAATGGAATTACCTTTCTCTGCAAGCTGCTTGCCATGACTAGGGAGGAATGGCTGATCAAAGGCAACAACGTTTCCCGGATTTGTTCAATTCAGCTGAGTTATGTTTGCCTGAGATTAAATGCTTGCAAAAAAAAAAAAAAAAAAAAGTTTGATACGGATGAAGTGAGTTCAATAAAAAATAAGCAATGGCAGGTTCTAGAGCTCAAAGATCCACTGTTTATTCACCAAAAAATGTCTAACAAACATGTGCTGCATTTTGTTTTCAAAGCCCTTTTTCATGGTAATAACCAGTTGACTTGTCGCTGTTGTCTGGGAGGAAAGAGATTAGTGTAAATGAAGGATTTTTTTCTGTATTTTTTTAATTATTGGTTTCAAGAATTCTATTAAGAATTTTTGACAGATGTTTAAACTTATTAAAATGCCATGTTATTTTTAAACAAAACCTTTCATTATCGACTTAAGACAGTTTTTAATGTGTAAGTTAATTTATAGTAAAATACACTTTTATGTAGAAGTCTACAATTAAAATGCAGTGTTCCCAAACTACAAAAGCAAAGTGTTTTAAATGACATCACCCATCTTTCAACTGTTCATTGGCAAATTTTGAAGACCAACACCATAAACCATTTTATTAGAAAGCGAAAAAGAAGTTACAATGAATAATTTATTATATAAATAAAACATTTCCCCATTAATATCACATTTTAATTTAGTTCTGATTTGAATGGTAATTAATTAATAAGTTTTTGTACTCAGTAGACTAAGCACAAATATTCCAAATACATTTCCCTTTCTGGGTTGGGTACATAAATCACAAAGAAGTCACATCTGTCCCCCTCTGATTGAATGAATTTGCAAAGACTTCTAATATCATGTAGAATTTGATTCTGGGCACTCTTGTGTATGAGACTACCATTGGCATTCCAGAAACCCTGGAACTTGTAAACTTCTACTCGTCAACATTCACAGCAACTCCATTTGATCATCCCTGAAAATGATTTTCTTAATAGAAAGAATAAATACACCAGAAAGTTTTTGCTTCAGTAGCCACTCATATAAATTGCACTGAGGTTTTAACTCAGAAGTTATGATATATGCTTGTATTTATTTAACATGAATTTACAAAAATGTGTACTTAAAATGAAACATGATTCTCATAAACACTACTTCAGTACTGAAGAGTCAAAACATAAATTCTTCCATTCAAGCAGGAACTGTACACTTCACTAATGTACAATGTTATATTTAACATATATATATGTTAGTTTTCAAATCACTTTAAGTTGTCAGTAAATCAGATATGGTTCCAGAAATTGTGCCAGCATATGTTTAAATTTTACAGTATATGTGCTGTCAAGTTAATATTTTAATTTTCCATTGTGGTATTTCTTTTCTTTTTCTCAGAACTGTCTTTCAGGTTTAATGAAAGCTAGTTTAGGTGAATGGTTTTAAAATAAATGTCAAAAACACAGATAAGTGTTAGAAAAAAATAACCATTTATCCTCTAGTTCATCTTCATCTTGAATGTTAAAACACACCGGTATGTGAAAATTCTATAGTTGAGTTGAGTGACCCAATCTGTATAATCCTATTTGTATGTATGCTTCTTACAGCATATGCAGAACAGTAAAAAGACTTGCATTGTTATAATTCAGATTAATTCTGAAGAGCCTAAGGGAATCCAAAAGGTTTAAGTGAGATGTCATTACACTGTCTCCTCATACTAGTTGATGAACACCACCCTTTCAGCTTTCCTTCTTTTCTTCCACATTTCCTCCAGTTTCCTGCCATTTCTTTCTTACTCTAGCCCTGAAATATGCTTTTGCAGCTCTGTAGAATTGCCTGTCTAATCAAACTGTACATGAATACAGAAAATTCTTCCATATTTATTTGTGTCATTTGGCTTTATCAGCTTTGCTTATCATCTCCTCTCTTGCGAGGACTTATTAAGGACCCAGTGAGCAATTTATACATGGCAGGCTTATACCTCTGTTTGAAATGGCTTGTAGGAATATTTGGGGTTTTATCCTATGCCTATATCTTGCCCACTGAAAGTTCTCTCCTTCAATTTAGTTCCTTGGTTTGTAGATAAATTATATTTTTCTGCCTTGCTTTTGTCTCCTTTTCCCTCTCACTGTTCAGATTAACCTCTGATGAGCAGATGACTTGCAGATCTCCATTAGCAAAATGGATGTAAAAAGAGTACAATTTTTCCATTCCTATCACACACCCTACAGGCTGATTCAGTTTGCTATTTTAATTAGTTAGAAATCAGGTCTACTTTTAAATATTATAGGACTAATATATTTTTGTCAGCATTAAGATGCGTAAGACAAAACAGTGATCTAGGATTTCCAAACCTTAAGTATTGAGAGGCAATGATGCTACTCTGCTCTCTGAGGTGAAACAGCATTTCTCCGAGTAGGAGCTGCCTTTTCCATTTTGTAATCTCTCAGTCAAGTCTCCTACAATGTTTCAAGAATGGATAAAATTTTTGGTTTTTTCCTTGCCTATGTATCTGTCGAGGTGTGAGACTCTCAGAAAGAGCATGACTGGCTTGCATGGCCTTGATGCATATGAAGTATTAAATGGTTTTTCTCATACCTTTCACAGCACAAAAGATTAGAGAAAGACCATGTATACAGGCACTGCCATTAACTACTGTCGTCCTGCAACAGTGTTCCCCAGGAACATAATACTCTTCAATTTTTTGTCTTGCCACTTCTTCCCTTCTCTTTAAACACCTCATAACAGCAGGCATAAAATGGTAAATAGTTTAAGTTTTACTGATGTTGGAGGACTTTTTGGCCATGAATTTCAGTTTCTAGCAGAAGATAGGAATGGAGATGATATATCCTCAAACATGGACTATGTTCCTCTGAAATTCCTTACATATTGGGCTATTACGATGATATATTTGGACCCCTGCTTAACTAATGGATAGCAATGTTGCATCTGTAAATTTAGTCTTTTATT